CTTTACAGATACGCATTTAGAGAAATAATATTACAAAAGTCGTACTGTCGTATTTTATTTACACAACATTTAGGCTGTTATTTGCGTTGAAATGATGAAAGTTTTTGTTTCAAGATATAAACTTAGCTGGTGGCGGCAGGTCTTAGATTGGGGGCAGTTTGCTTGTTTCAACTTGACAATTTCACAGCATGGGTTATATTAGCAATAGTCTGTCTTTGTCTCCTGTCTCCTACCTCATGTCTTTGTCTCATAACTCACGTCTTATCGGAGTCACGTGACCTTTGACTGCTGCACAGTTTCAACTGACAGCCTCACACAATTTACACTCATCCCCTCCCCCAGCCCGGATAGCTCACATCAGCAAACAAACAACCGACAAATCGTTACAAGGTCGGCTCAGTCCAACTCCGCTTCTCCTGAATACAAACCAGTTGCCACACAATCCTGCTGTAGCTGTCGCCTGGTGAAGCTCTTCTCTCGCGGTTGACGGCAGCTTCCATCCATGTGCTCATCTAATCTTAACTCACTTGACGCCGTTGTTCTAATCTTCGCTTATTGAGTGCAACCATAATAAACCGTGAGTGATCTCCCCTAAACTTTCTCGAATATTCTTATATAACTTGGAATGTAGACATGATTTTTAATTACTTAAACTTTTAAAAATAGAATAGAATCTCATAGAAAAAACATTGCGCACCAAACAAACGCCGAAACAAAATGTGCGTAATAGTGCGCAATATTATTAGTACTTTAAAAATTTACATTAGTTTTTTGAGAAATCGGAAGTAGCGTAAATTACTACTTCCGGTCAACGGAAATTACTCAAAATTTAACAGAAGGTAGAGAATTAGATCTTTTACTTACATGTGAAATTTCTATCTGAAATAGTACTCAAGTTATATGCTTTTGAAAAATTCAAAGTAGAAAAAGTACCACTTCCGGTTGTCGGAAATCGCTCAAAAGTTGATACGGATCTACGATTTTGATATAATACTTATATATGAAATTTCATCAACCTAGCTGTAACAGTACTCAAGTTATCGTGTTTACACACAGACACACAGACACACAGACACACACACACACACAGACATACGGACAAGATTGCAAAATTATGTTTTTCCGTATCAGTGAGGTGTAAAACGTCGAGATTTGTAAAAATCTCGATTTTTTTTTGCACGATTACAATACTTTCTCTATACTACGTATATACGAGAAAGTAAAAATGGGGGACGTGTTTTCATAACCCCAGTCCACAGTCCCCAGTTCGCAGGGACCAAATGGTCCTCTAACACCAAATAGTCCTCTACCACCAAATAGTCCTCTACCACCAAATAGTCCTCTACCACCAAATAGTCCTCTACCACCAAATAGTCCTCTACCACCTCTATAAAAACAGTTCAATAGAACAAGAAGCCACTCATTCTTTCAAATGTTGGTGTTACATCTAGATCCACATTGTGTACATACCCCAGAAATTCAACACTTCAATACAATTGTCCACTTATTTAGAACAACTTTAGCTCTACTCACATTAGAGCCGTTACGCTGGATTAGAGCTTGGGTTATGCTGGATTAGAGCGTTGGTTACTCTGGATTAGAGCTTTGGTTACTGTAAATCTAGGTTAACGTCTTAGGTTACAGTGATATTTAACTTGCAATCTAGCATGTTAACACTCGAGAGTCAAAACTGGATTACGGATAAGTGAGGATTAAGGTTAAATCCTGTTGACAGAAAAATGGGCTAATACAACATAGAACGGAATTGATATCTACACAACTTTCTCGAATATTCTAACAGTAATGGGGATGAGACTTTTAGTGCAATCGGGCTATAGAAATGTTTTTTTCAAGCTTTTATTGAACTTGTTTCTTCTGTCTGTCGTCAGTCGTCAGTGTCTGTCATCATACATCGAAACGGACGAGCGATAAACTTTCTCGAATGTTCTTATATAACACTACGGGATTGGCAACTCGGGATATGGACATCATTTTAATCAGCTTTTACATGCTTAAACTTTTATAAAATAGAATAGAATCTCGTAGAAAAAAAGAATTGCACACCAAGTGAATGGCAAACAATATGTGTTTAATAGTGTGGAGTATTCGTACTTTATAAATTCATGAGTTTTTTTTTTTTTTTTTTTTTTTTTTTTTTTTTTTTTTTTTGAGAAATCGAAAAAAGCGTTAAGTACTACTTCCGCTCAACAGAAATGACTCAACATTTGTCAGAAGGTAGAGAATTAGATATGTTATGTATATGTTAATTCCGTTTATCTATGTAAAACCTTACTCAAGTTATAGGCTTTTCAAAAACCAAAGTAGAATAAGTTCCGATTCCGGTTACCGGAAATCACTGAAAAATTGATATAGTACTAAACATTTGATATAATACTTATGCATGAAATTTCATCAACCTAGCTGTTATTGTGTTCACACACAGACACACACACACACACACACACACATACACACATACATACGGACAAAATTGCAAAACTATGTTTTTCCGACTCAGGGAGGAGTAAAACGCCGAGATTTGTGAAAATCTCGATTTTAGATTTTTAGGACCATTACAAAACTTCCTCGAAACTTCGTATTCGAGAAAGTAAAAAACATTTGAGAGTTTGAATGATTAATTAATTAGTGATTGGATGTTATGTGGAATGCTTAAGTTTAAAAAGTATTTTTTATATTTACAGAGAAATTGATGGAATGTTCGCTATTTATTACTCAAGAGGTGATTAAAAGAGGTTTCCTTGATAGTATAGCTCATAGATTATATTACATTGACTTTGAAAATGAATTCCTACAATTGAATTATAAACATTCATTAAATTACTGCCTATTTTTTTTTACTTAAACGAATGATATACTTCGTCATTTTCTGTTTTTGTTGAAATTAGAATAAAATAATTGAAAAAAAAAATACTTTAGAAAGTTATCTCCTTGTACATAGACCGAATGATGTAATCCTTGTTTTCACGAAAAAAAATGCTATGCTTATATAAGAGAATACGGCATCTGGACAAATCTAACCGCCCTAGCTGATTTTTCCGACGGACATAAAGATTTTTTTTTATCCTCCAGGGTAGGTCTACGACTTCACAAAATATCAAGAGCCAATGGTTCGTTAGGCAATTTTTTATATAACTTATATAAGGATAATTTCACTGGCGGTAATTTGTTTTAGCTCTCAACTAAAGCTGACTGATAGGTTTCCATACGGCCTAGCCGTCTATCGAGGTGTATGCAAGAAATTAGCCCGATGCACAGAGGTTAAGTGCCCTTAAATCTTTGTTGAAAATACCGTGTGCTTCACATAAATTACAATGCTTGTATAGGGAAATAGGACTAGTCAGTTTTGACCGATTTACAGATTTTTCCTAGAGATAGCGAGTTTTTTCTGACATCAATAGGCTTTTCTACGACCACACAAAATATGTTTTCACTATATAGCTCATATAAGGAGAATTTCACTCGTGGACACTTTGTTTGCCCTCACCGTGCGAATAGAAGCTGACCGATATTTTTTTCATATGGCCGATTCATTTACTCAGGTGTATGGAAAACATGAGCCAGATGTACAGAGCCAAAGTATCCTAAAATCTGTTTTGCAAATATTCATAATTTTTCACCAATTTAACAATGTTTATATTGTGAATTGGAACCGGTCACTTCTAAGCAATTCCGATGTTTTCCCGAAGATAACGCCTATGATTAGTGACCCCCGCGGGTAACTCTACGACCTCAGGAGTTATGATTTGGTTTGTATGACCAGATATTTGTATTTTTTTTAACCGGTCACTTTTAAATATGATAAATATGATCCAAGAAATACTGCGCAGGCATTGTTTACATTTAAATAACAGTTTTAGAAAACAAGATCACACGTTCAAAAAATATAGGATTGGTAACGCATTGATAAAACCCTCTTAAAATATTTCCTCAGACTTTATTCTATCCCCGCACACACACACACACACACACACGCACACACACACACACACACACACACACAGACGGACAGGATTGCAAATCTAAATTTACGAAAATCATCTAAATTTTTCAAAATCTCAATTTAGAATTTGTTCCCACTACTACAATCCATCATCTGTATGCAATAAAGGTGTAAATGTCTAAAAATAATTAAGGGCGATAAAAGTAATTCCTCTATACTACCATTAAATCCTATCATTTTAATACTGGTGTCGCTGCAACTACTTGTTTCATTCGATGTATTTTAGATATATGATGTGTTACTTCATAGCTTGTATTTTAGATATATGATGTGTTACTTCATAGCTTGTATTTTAGATATATGATGTGTTACTTTATAGCTTGTATTTTAGATTTATGATGTGTTACTTCATAGCTTGTATTTTAGATATATGATGTGATGTATCTTAGATATTTTATGTGATCACATACACTTACCTAACATTATCACTTCATCAAATACACATTACCTCATAGCTTGATGCCATAACATACACTTCAGTACGTTAAAAAGTGTATTGTAACTAGTCGACGTAATATAGTACACTTACCTACGTTAAAAAGTGTATTGTAACTAGTCGATGTAATGAAGTACACTAACCTACGTTAAAAAGTGTATTGTAACTAGTCGATGTAATGAAGTACACTAACCTACGTTAAAAATTGTATTGTAACTAGTCGATGTAATGAAGTACATTAACCTACGTTAAAAAGTGTATTGTAACTAGTCGATGTAATGAAGTACACTTACCTACGTTAAAAAGTGTATTGTAACTAGTCGATGTAATGAAGTACACTTACCTACGTTAAAAATTGTATTGTAACTAGTCGATGTAATGAAGTACACTAACCTACGTTAAAAAGTGTATTGTAACTAGTCGATGTAATGAAGTACACTTACCTACGTTAAAAATTGTATTGTAACTAGTCGATGTAATGAAGTACACTAACCTACGTTAAAAAGTGTATTGTAACTAGTCGATGTAATGAAGTACACTTACCTACGTTAAAAGAGTTGTTGCCTGGCTTCTCGAGTGTGTCAGTTTTTAAAATTTGAGCCGAGGTGTCCACCAACTGCTGGTCAACGAAACAATGTTCCTGGATAGTTTCAACTTCGTGATTTCAAGTTTTTATTTTTCGGTGCTTTAAAGTTCTTGATCTGGCCTAAACTTAGACTGAATGAAGACAAAAATTTAAACCCAAATCAAATTTATTCAAACTTATTTCCCGCGGATCAGACTGGCCGAGGTCTAGAGATGGCCGGCTTTATATGGTCGGAGTTTGGATCAAAGATGAGGGACTTACGATACCATAATTAGTGAATACATTTAAAAGACCGGCAATTATAGCGCACAGATCGAAGTCGAATAGGCGACCGTTTCTCAGCTGGTCAGACTTGTATGAATAATGTATAGTTAGGAAGACAGCCAGTGTATGTTTGGTATTACAATTATTCAAATTACGACTCGGCCAATTAGGTTTATTCTCCGCGTTTATCTCTGATTTCCTCATACAACCTTTACGTCACCGTCGGGAAGGGAAGTTTCGCGGACGCTAACGGCTGTAACGGCTGTAACGGCTGTAACGGCTGTAACGGCTGTAATGGAATTCAAACTGGCAAAAACCCGAATCACACACCTATGGCTAGTAGACGAAACAAAAGATACTCTAACTATAAGTTAACTCCTACGGAAAAATTGTCCTCAATGGAAAATTTGAAATGATCTGCACACTTTCAAACTCGCATCACGCACCCCCCATTTATCTACAACCTGGGCGGGACGTGAGGGTGGAGCTCGTGAGCAAAACTCACGCGCATTCTGGGACGGTGGTGAGTCGCAGGCGGGGTCGTGGAGTATGAGGTACCATCCGTCTGGTCTAGTGGTATGAGGTACCATCCGTCTGGTCTAGTGGTATGAGGTACCATCCATCTGGTCTAGTGGTATGAGGTACCATCTATCTGGTCTAGTGGTATGAGGTACCATCTATCTGGTCTAGTGGTATGAGGTACCATCCATCTGGTCTAGTGGTATGAGGTACCATCCATCTGGTCTAGTTAGATGAGGTACCATCTATCTGGTCTAGTTAGATGAGGTACCATCCATCTGGTCTAGTTAGATGAGGTACCATCTATCTGGTCTAGTGGTATGAGGTACCATCTATCTGGTCTAGTGGTATGAGGTACCATCCATCTGGTCTAGTGGTATGAGGTACCATCTATCTGGTCTAGTTAGATGAGGTACCATCTATCTGGTCTAGTTAGATGAGGTACCATCCATCTGGTCTAGTGGTATGAGGTACCATCCATCTGGTCTAGTGGTATGAGGTACCATCTATCTGGTCTAGTTAGATGAGGTACCATCCATCTGGTCTAGTTAGATGAGGTACCATCTATCTGGTCTAGTGGTATGAGGTACCATCCATCTGGTCTAGTTTGATGAGGTACCATCTATCTGGTCTAGTTAGATGATGTACCATCCATCTGGTCTGGTGGTATGAGGTACCATCCATCTGGTCTAGTGGTATGAGGTACCATCCATCTGGTCTAGTGGTATGAGGTACCATCTATCTGGTCTAGTTTGATGAGGTACCATCCATCTGGTCTAGTTAGATGAGGTACCATCTATCTAGTCTGGTTAGATGAGGTACCATCTATCTGGTCTAGTGGTATCAGGTACCATCTATCTGGTCTAGTGGTATGAGGTACCATCCATCTGGTCTAGTGGTATGAGGTACCATCTATCTGGTCTAGTGGTATAAGGTACCATCCATCCGGTCTAGTTTGATTAGGTACCATCCATCTGGTCTAGCGGTATGAGGTACCATCCATCTGGTCTAGTGGTATGAGGTACCATCTGGTCTAGTGGTATAAGGTACCATATATCTGGTCTAGTGGTATGGGGTACCATCCATCTGGTCTAGTTTGATGAGGTGCCATCTATCTGGTCTAGTTAGATGAGATACCATCTATCTGGTCTAGTGGTATGAGGTACCATCTATCTGGTCTAGTGGTATAAGGTACCATCCATCCGGTCTAGTTTGATAAGGTACCATCCATCTGGTCTACTTAGATGAGGTACCATCCATCTGGTCTAGTTAGATGAGGTACTATCTATCTGGTCTAGTGGTATGAGGTACCATCCATCTGGTCTAGTGGTATGAGGTACCATCTATCTGGTCTAGTGGTATGAGGTACCATCCATCTGGTCTAGTTTGATGAGGTACCATCTATCTGGTCTAGTGGTATGAGGTACCATCTATCTGGTCTAGTGGTATGAGGTACCATCCATCTGGTCTAGTTTGATGAGGTACCATCTATCTGGTCTAGTGGTATGAGGTACCATCTATCTGGTCTAGTTTGATGAGGTACCATCTATCTGGTCTAGTGGTATGAGGTACCATCTATCTGGTCTAGTGGTATGAGGTACCATCCATCTGGTCTAGTTTGATGAGGTACCATCTATCTGGTCTAGTGGTATGAGGTACCATCTATCTGGTCTAGTTTGATGAGGTACCATCTATCTGGTCTAGTTTGATGAGGTACCATCCATCTGGTCTAGTTAGATGAGGTACCATCCATCTGGTCTAGTTAGATGAGGTACCATCCATCTGGTCTAGTGGTATGAGGTACCATCTATCTGGTCTAGTGGTATGGGGTACCATCCATCTGGTCTAGTTTGATGAGGTACCATCTATCTGGTCTAGTGGTATGAGGTACCATCCATCTGGTCTAGTGGTATGAGGTACCATCCATCTGGTCTAGTGATATGAGGTACCATCTTGTCTAGTGGTATAAGGTACCATATATCTGGTCTAGTGGTATGGGGTACCATCCATCTGGTCTAGTTTGATGAGGTACCATCTATCTGGTCTAGTTAGATGAGGTACCATCTATCTGGTCTAGTGGTATGAGGTACCCTCCATCTGGTCTAGTGGTATGAGGTACCATCCATCTGGTCTAGTTTGATGAGGTACCATCTATCTGGTCTAGTGGTATGAGGTACCATCCATCTGGTCTAGTGGTATGAGGTACCATCTATCTGGTCTAGTTAGATGAGGTACCATCTATCTGGTCTAGTGATATGAGGTACCATCCATCTGGTCTAGTGGTATGAGGTACCATCCATCTGGTCTAGTGGTATGAGGTACCATCCATCTGGTCTAGTTTGATGAGGTACCATCTATCTGGTCTAGTGGTATGAGGTACCATCTATCTGGTCTAGTGGTATGAGGTACCATCCATCTGGTCTAGTGGTATGAGGTACCATCTATCTGGTCTAGTGGTATGAGGTACCATCCATCTGGTCTAGTTTGATGAGGTACCATCTATCTGGTCTAGTGGTATGAGGTACCATCCATCTGGTCTAGTGGTATGAGGTACCATCCATCTGGTCTAGTGGTATGAGGTACCATCTATCTGGTCTAGTGGTATGAGGTACCATCCATCTGGTCTAGTGGTATGAGGTACCATCTATCTGGTCTAGTTAGATGAGGTACCATCCATCTGGTCTGGTGGTATGAGGTACCATCCATCTGGTCTAGTGGTATGAGGTACCATCCATCTGGTCTAGTTAGATGAGGTACCATCTATCTGGTCTGGTTAGATGAGGTACCATCTATCTGGTCTAGTGGTATCAGGTACCATCTATCTGGTCTAGTGGTATGAGGTACCATCCATCTGGTCTAGTGGTATGAGGTACCATCTATCTGGTCTAGTGGTATAAGGTACCATCCATCCGGTCTAGTTTGATGAGGTACCATCCATCTGGTCTACTTAGATGAGGTACCATCCATCTGGTCTAGTTAGATGAGGTACCATCTATCTGGTCTAGTGGTATGAGGTACCATCCATCTGGTCTAGTGGTATGAGGTACCATCCATCTGGTCTAGTGGTATGAGGTACCATCCATCTGGTCCAGTTTGATGAGGTACCATCTATCTGGTCTAGTGGTATGAGGTACCATCCATCTGGTCTAGTTAGATGAGGTACCATCTATCTGGTCTAGTGGTATGGGGTACCATCTATCTGGTCTAGTTTGATGAGGTACCATCTATCTGGTCTAGTTTGATGAGGTACCATCCATCTGGTCTAGTTAGATGAGGTACCAACCATCTGGTCTAGTTAGATGAGGTACCATCCATCTGGTCTAGTGGTATGAGGTACCATCTATCTGTTCTAGTGGTATGGGGTACCATCCATCTGGTCTAGTTTGATGAGGTACCATCTATCTGGTCTAGTGGTATGAGGTACCATCCATCTGGTCTAGTGGTATGAGGTACCATCCATCTGGTCTAGTGGTATGAGGTACCATCTTGTCTAGTGGTATAAGGTACCATATATCTGGTCTAGTGGTATGGGGTACCATCCATCTAGTCTAGTTTGATGAGGTACCATCTATCTGGTCTAGTTAGATGAGGTACCATCTATCTGGTCTAGTGGTATGAGGTACCCTCCATCTGGTCTAGTGGTATGAGGTACCATCCATCTGGTCTAGTTTGATGAGGTACCATCTATCTGGTCTAGTGGTATGAGGTACCATCCATCTGGTCTAGTGGTATGAGGTACCATCTATCTGGTCTAGTTAGATGAGGTACCATCCATCTGGTCTAGTGATATGAGGTACCATCCATCTGGTCTAGTGGTATGAGGTACCATCCATCTGGTCTAGTGGTATGAGGTACCATCCATCTGGTCTAGTTTGATGAGGTACCATCTATCTGGTCTAGTGGTATGAGGTACCATCTATCTGGTCTAGTGGTATGAGGTACCATCCATCTGGTCTAGTTTGATGAGGTACCATCTATCTGGTCTAGTGGTATGAGGTACCATCCATCTGGTCTAGTGGTATGAGGTACCATCCATCTGGTCTAGTGGTATGAGGTACCATCTATCTGGTCTAGTGGTATGAGGTACCATCCATCTGGTCTAGTTTGATGAGGTACCATCTATCTGGTCTAGTTAGATGAGGTACCATCCATCTGGTCTGGTGGTATGAGGTACCATCCATCTGGTCTAGTGGTATGAGGTACCATCCATCTGGTCTAGTGGTATGAGGTACCATCTATCTGGTCTAGTTTGATGAGGTACCATCCATCTGGTCTAGTTAGATGAGGTACCATCTATCTGGTCTGGTTAGATGAGGTACCATCTATCTGGTCTAGTGGTATCAGGTACCATCTATCTGGTCTAGTGGTATGAGGTACCATCCATCTGGTCTAGTGGTATGAGGTACCATCTATCTGGTCTAGTGGTATAAGGTACCATCCATCCAGTCTAGTTTGATGAGGTACCATCCATCTGGTCTACTTAGATGAGGTACCATCCATCTGGTCTAGTTAGATGAGGTACCATCTATCTGGTCTAGTGGTATGAGGTACCATCCATCTGGTCTAGTGGTATGAGGTACCATCTATCTGGTCTAGTTAGATGAGGTACCATCCATCAGGTCTAGTGGTATGAGGTACCATCCATCTGGTCTAGTGGTATGAGGTACCATCCATCTGGTCTAGTTTGATGAGGTACCATCTATCTGGTCTAGTGGTATGAGGTAC